CACACACACGCACGCACGCACGCACACACACACACACACATATACACACACACACACACGCACGCACGCACGCACACACGCACACACACACACACACACACACACACAAGCGTATGAACTGGCTCAATCAAACCGAGAAGGCAACAATTTCAATTCACCTTTCTTGGGCATTCTTAAAAGTCCCCATTTTTTCCTGTTTACACTGAGTGTATTTACACTTGACATACATATCGGGCATCTTCATTTTTAATTTCCTGTGTAATGTAAGGTCACATTAAATAGAAAAAAAAAATCAGTCTTGGGTTTGCATATCAATAAATCTTAAGATTAGAAACATAAATATATTTTAAGGAAGTAAATCTGTAGTGCATAAACACCATGGAAATGTTACGGTTATCCAACTTACATTGCATAAATAGGTAAATGAATTTTATGCAGTAAAATATTTTATGGACGAAATGGTCTCTTTTTTAAGTTAGTGATGTACAACAGCCGTTGTCCGTATTCATCTTTATCAGTTGCGCAGTGTGATTTGCCTGCGCGTGCTTTCCCTGCGCATGCGCTCTTATTAGCGTCACTGTTGTAAACAAAAGAATTCATATACTTTTGTCAGATTTAATTTCACGATTTTCATCGTAGCATTGCGTTTATGTCTAAAACAAATTTTATCATATTGCAAAGATTTGTGTTTTCTGACATTTAACTTGATAAAAGTGTGACAGTGTTTCCGGATTTCGTCGATTTTGGGATCACAAATAATTTTCTTTGTTCGGCTGAATAGTGGCCACGTGGGTGGGGAAATTGATTGATTGCTGCAGCTGAGATTGTTTCATACGTTGACGCTCATAAGCAGTTAAGTATTTTCGTTTTTGCTTGTCGTTGCATCTACAGTAATGCTGTTGCGTTTCAAACTTTTCTCGGCTGGACTCCGAGCTTTGTGATCACCAAAACATCATGAATAAGGATCCTATAGCAGCTAAGGAAGATCTTCCTTAGCTGTATAGTGGTTTTTATTGTTAAATATTATACATGTAAAATACATGGGTGCAAGTTTCAGGCATATGACTGAAGCTCAGGTTTTTGTGACATATTTCATCATGTTCTACTTTTAGATTATGTAGGAAAATGATAACGAATTAAAGTTTTCAGGTTTTTTCAAATTTTTGATTGCACCTATGCATGTATACTCTACGGAATCCATATATAATTATGGTCGAGTTGTAACATTTCATGTATAGATTGGGGACTGTTGCCTGCCTGAGGCTTCATTTAGGATGATTTCCAACCCAATATTCCTCTAGATTGTTATAATAAATATTGTGAAACTTACATATATAACCTCTTGGTTAGTTCTAATCAAAGTTGTGGTGAGCAGATTAAAAAAAAAGATGCTTTTATTTATAATTTCCAGGCTTGAACCTGAGTTTCCGGACTAGTATCCGAGATTTATTTTTTAAATATCCAGGCTTGCACCTGAGTTTCCGGACTAGTATCCGAGATTTATTTTTAAATATCCAGGCTTGCACCTGAGTTTCCGGACTAGTATCCGAGATTTATTTTTAAATATCCAGGCTTGCACCTGAGTTTCCGGACTGGTATCCGATTTTATTTTAAATTTCCAGGCTTGCACCTGAGTTTCCGGACTAGTATCCGAGATTTATTTTTTAAATATCCAGGCTTGCACCTGAGTTTCCGGACTGGTATCCGAGATTTATTTTTTAATATCCAGGCTTGCACCTGAGTTTCCGGACTGGTATCTGAGATTTATTTTAATTTTCCAGGCTTGGGCCTGAATTTTTTGGACTTGTATAGATTTATGTTTTATTTTTAAATTTCATGGCAGGCACCCGAATTTCCGGACTAGTATCCGAGTTATAATTTTTAAATAGACTGTTTATACATATTAACCAGTCTAGTACGGGAGTTCCTAGTCAAGTGCACAAACATATTTTACAGTCCAAAACACCTGCTATAGAACTATTTGTAAATTTATTAATTCCAGGCTATGTCCTGAGGTTCCGGACAAGTATCCGAGGTTTTATTTCCTATTTATTTTGCTATATTTCCAGATATGCCGGGAAAGAGGAAAGCTGCTTCGTCAACAAAGGCGAAATGTACAGCTTCGTGTTGCGTGGAAGCACCGGTGGCTGGAGGGAGCAGCCCAAACGATGTACACCACATTAACAAAACAAAGCGCCGGGGTATAATTAATAACAATCCTTCTGTTCCTGAAGTTCAACCAGAAGTAACGGCATCCTCATCAGATGATTCTGATGATTCCAACCTGAACGATGTCACAATAAATAATGTTAACTTGACAGAAAAGGAAGACCGGGGGCGTTGGAGAACAAAATCACAGACGAAGACAAACTCTTCTCGCAAAAAGAGGTCCCTTTCTCCAACCAGGCACAGGCACAGTGTGAACAATGACGCATCCAGCAGGGAAGATGAAATAACAGACTCTTCTTCATCAGACAGCGATGATAGTCTCTTGGATGGAGTTTTAGCTAAACAGGCTAAAAAACTTAAAAGTGATAAAAGACACTCTAGAATCCCCTATTTCTACTCAGGTTCCCTATAAGCTCCAAAAGAAAATTTGGAGACATAAATTTGTGGATTTTGGGGCCTTACTGCCTATCACTTTTGGTCATGACCAAGAAGAAACGCCATACCAGTTCTCAGTTAACCAAACAAATGGTAATTTCCATCTTGTCCCATCTATAAAAAAACAAAAAATCCACAACATTGAGCAGTGGACCACCGCATTTATGCGTTTTGTGGCAATTTATGCCACAAAATACCCTTTAGAAACACCAGCCCTTATGAAATATGGTGAACTGGTAAGGGACCTGGCGTCTAAACATAGTACAAATGCCTGGGCCCGTTACGACTTCCAATTCAGAACCCTTCGGGAACAAGTTCAAATCCCATGGGACCAGTTACACACGGAATACTGGGTCCGAGCGACAACTGTGCCCTCGTCAACAGGTCATCCCTTTCGCCAGTACCGCCGCGGTGGCGGCTCGTACAATAATGCACCCCGTTCCTTTCGTAAAAACAAGTCGAACTCATCCGGTGAATTCCTTCCAAACACATGCTGGTCATTTAATAGACGAGGTTTCTGTCCATTGGTCAATTGTTTCCCCCACACATGCGGTTACTGTCGAGGCCAGCACTCCGCTAAATCTTGTCCCATTGGACAAAAGCAAGAGTCAAGCTCCAGTCAGCAGCCCACACAGCCCCAGTCAAACCAAAACATTACCAGAGTTTTCAACAAGTCAAAATAATACAGTCAATACTCCACTTATTACCCCAATTAAACTTGGTCCTTTCTCTTACTGGATCAGGGGTTACCAGTTTGAAAATTACTTGATATCTGGGTTTGAAAAAGGTTTCCATTTAGGTTTTGTAGGTAACAGATGTGCCTACATAACAAAAAACTCAAAATCTTGCTCAGAGTTACCAGACGTAGTGGTTAGAAAATTACAAAAAGAAATTACACTACGTAGAGTTGCTGGCCCTTTTGTTCATCCTCCTTTCCCGTCATTTAGGGTTAGTCCAATAGGTGTAGTACCTAAAAAGGAACCAAACACTTTCAGGTTAATTCACCACTTAAGCTATCCATATGGCAATTCCGTTAATGATTTTATAGATCCAAATTTAGCAACAGTTCAATATTCTACCTTTGACCAAGCTATTACAATGGTAAAGCACCTAGGTCCCGGTTGTTTAATGGCAAAAACAGATATAGACTCTGCCTATCGTATCATTCCAGTCCACCCGGATGACTATCCACTCTTAGGTTTTCGTTTCAATAATCTTTTCTATTACGACCGCTCCCTTCCTATGGGGGCTAGCTCATCATGTGCAATATTTGATCGATTTAGTTCAGGTCTTAAATGGATAGCTCAAACAAAACTGTCCATTTCAAACATTCTACATATTTTGGATGATTTTCTTATAATGGGCCCAAAAAACTCCAATAAATGCGAATCTGATTTGAGGGTTTTTCTTGATTTATGTAAAGCTGTGGGAGTACCCATAAAACAGGAGAAAACTGTTTCTGCGACATCAGTCATAGTTTTCATGGGTTTAGAAATTGATTCAATCAAGATGGAGGCTAGGTTACCCAAAGATAAACTTTCAAAACTTCATAAGTTACTGGTTCTTCATAAATCGCGCAGGAAAATTCAATTACGCGATTTACAGTCCCTGATAGGTCTCCTTAATTTTTGCTGCCAAGTAGTGCTGCCAGGAAGAGCTTTTCTAAGGCGTCTTATTGATCTTACTAAAAATATAACAAAACCTCATCATAGAGTAACGTTATCTAAAGAACCTAGGCGGGATTTGGCAGCTTGGCTTTTATTCATTGAACATTTTAATGGCAAACATATTTTACTTGATCAGAAATGGTTAACAAACGAAGCTGTACATTTATTTACAGACTCTTCAGGTTCCTTGGGTTATGGGGCCATTTGGGAGAAACATTGGTTCTATGGCCCGTGGCCATAACAGATTGTAGACACAAACATTACTTACAAGGAATTGTTTCCAATCACACTAGCAATTGAAATTTGGGGTTGCCAGCTGGCAAATCAATGTATTGTTGTACACTCTGATAATGAGGCTGTAGTCCATATAATAAATAAACAGTCTAGTAAAGAAGCAAACATCATGCAATTAATACGGCGTCTAGTTGTTGCGTGTATGAAATATAATATACTGATACGTTCTGAACATGTGCCGGGAAAGCAAAACAATCTAGCAGATATGCTTTCTCGTTTTCAGATACAAGAGTTTCTCAAGACTGCTCCCTATGCAGACAGGGTAGCAACTCAAGTACCAAGTGCTCTTCTCGAACACCTTTAAGACGTATTGTCAGTTCTCTACTTGAGGGTTCTCTGACTCAAAGCACGAGACGCTCTTATAGCAATGCATATAAACATTTCAGTTCTTTTCATAATAATCATTATGGAAGACATCCACACGGCAGAATTTCTACAAGTAAACTAACTACATATGTAGCATTTTGTCACTCGACAGGTATGAAATATTCAAGCATATGCTCCAGAGTGTCTGCCCTCAATTATATAAATAGATTGCTTGGTGCAAAGTCTTCAAAACACAGTTTCTTAGTACAAAGAGTGCTTTTGGGTTGTAAAAAATTTTCTTCGAATCCTGACAAAAGACAACCCATTACTAAATATCTGTTGAAAAAGCTAGTTTCCATACTACCCAGTTTATTCACGTCTTTATATAATGTTACACTAATTCGGGCTATGTTCACAATGGCCTTTTTCGCATTTCTAAGGGTAGGTGAATTCACAAAGTCTAGTACTGCCAACCATACTATCTCCAACAGCGATATATCTGTTAATACAAAGAATTGCAAACCTGTCAGTATTTCTGTCTCGTTGAGTCATTTTAAACATTCAGTTGCCCCATTCACCATGATTTTACAGCGTTTCAAAAACAAGCGAATATGTCCAGTTCTTGCAATTGACACATTTTCCAGAATGCGTCCAAAAGTTTTGGGTCCATTTTTCCTTAATGAATCGGGAACCCCAGTTACTACGAAACAATTCAATAAGATTTTGAAAAAATGTATTTGTAAGATTGGGTGCGACCCAAAATTTTATACATCACATAGTTTTCGAATTGGAGCTGCCACGTTAGCCCACAGCAAAAAGTACTCAGATTCTCAAATACGCAAATTGGGCAGGTGGCGGTCTAACGCTTTTCAGTCATATTTGCGCCCTTCTTCCCTGATGTTTTGATTAACGACTGTCTTATTATTACACTTTACTCAGATATAATTATTCTGATAAAGAACATGTGCAGATTTGTTTCATTGACTGACTGAGGCAGCAATGAAGCTAATTTTGATAACGGGTCATACAATAGTCCCAAAGACTTATATTTATAGTGAAATAAACTATACTGGACATTTAGCGAAACTACCTTATTATTGGCACGAAGCTGACTACGTTTTTTATGATATTAAATGGATGAATTGATATTGTTTTTAATATTAAACATTTGATTTTACTGGTTTTAACTGGTTTTCATAGTAGGGAATTGATATATACATGTATTACTGTTTTGAATAGTCTGCAGAAAGCTACTTTTTCCTACCAAGCATTAATTTTGTTGTTGATGTACATCTCTTTATCATGTAATTAGGAAATGTATGTATTTTGTTGTATTTCATTAAACATATATAGTGAAATCTATTTTATGCTGAAATCCTTATTGAATGAAATTTTGACTGTCTGAGGCGGCAAATTTTCATTAATATTATTTTTATAATTGGCTATTTAGTTTTTACATGTAATTAAGAAATTTATGTATTTTGTTGTATTTCATGAAACATATGTAGTGAAATCTATTTCATGCTGAAATCTTTATTTAATGAAATTTTGACTGTTTGAGGCGGCAAATTTTCATTAATATTATTTTATAATTGGCTATTTAGTTTTTACATGTAATTAAGAAATTTATGTATTTTGTTGTATTTCATGAAACATATACAGTGAAATCTATTTCATGCTGAAATCTTTATTTAATGAAATTTTGACTGTTTGAGGCGGCAAATTTTCATTAATATTATTTTATAATTGACTATTTAGTTTTTACAAAAATAATTTTGTTACTGTTGTTTACCATAATTTTATAAACTCATGGCATGCTAACTTGAAGTAGCTCAAATGATATTATTAAGCATGGATGTCAAATATGTCGTATGTACTAGTCAGCATTGTTTTTAAAAAATTTGACATAATTTTTATACAACAATGTATTATTCTCATTATACATGAATATAATTTGGCCCCATGATACTAAATGCTCTTTTGTAAATGAAATTTGCGTCACTCAACAAAATCCAATTGATCTACAGGTTCTAGAGTTTGCTTGTCTGGGCGGGTATAAAGTTCTGAATTCTCAGGTCTTTATCCTATGGCGTATTTTTATGCCCAGATAAAACATAATAACATTTTATTGTGTACTATTTCTAGTCATAACAAAATCTAAAGGTGCACTGTCCCAGCAAACACAAGACGTCATACTGACGTCAGATTTAAGTCAGGTTCTGACGTCGGATGACGGTCGGAAAAACGGTCGGATTTGAAAGTTTTTTTGACGTAATAATCTGACGTCAGATAGGCGTCAGGATCTAACCATTATCTAACTATTTCTGACCAAAATCTAACCATTTTCCGACCAAAATCTGACCGTTATCTAACCAGTTTCTGACCATTTTCCGACCTCAATCTGACCATTTTCTGACCTAAATCTAACCAGTTTCTGATCAATTTCCGAAATCAATCTGACCATTTTCCGATCTAAATCTTAACCTTTTTCTGCCCTAAACTTGACCATTTTCTGACCTTAATCTGATCATTTCCCTAATCCTCCTTGTTTACAATGTTATAAATATTTTCTGGCCAATCCTGATTTGATCAAATGTAATGTTACTCATTCTTTTAAGTAACTTTCAATCCAATGAAATGTATAACAAAAAACTAAAAGCAAAAATATGTTTTTATGTTTTTTTTTATTTAAGATAAAAGTTGCAATTTAAAGCTGATATATACAGTTTTAGTTAATTCTGCAAGGCTAAATACTTTTCATAAACTAAACCAAAGAAAACATAAAATAAGTTAATGACAATACAAAAAGTATTTCAAAAACAATGACATAAATGAAACTAAGAAATCATATACAAATATTAATGAACAAAACAATGTATGTATATTTCTATCAAAGTTTGCCTTATCAAACAAAATAATGAAAATATTATAAATTTAAGAAAAGTTAAAAGATTCGGATAATAATGTTTCAAGCAATTAATGACAGATATTCAGTATTTGAACTATATTTCTACAGCATTACTAAAACATTTAGTAGTATTTTTCATATTTTGACCTCCTTTTGATAATTGTCACTAACGTATAAATTATTTCCTTTTAGTTACTTCACAAAGTTATACACAAATGTACTTTTAAATATCCACGAGAATTAGCACGAATTTAGAGGTGCGATGCCTTTAGATATATGACCTTCTCTCACCAACCCTCGTCTGTCCGGAGTATGTAACATGTTAATGTCCAATAACGTTTGTGATATCATTTTCACTAAAAAAAAAAAAAAAAAAATTTATGAAAATTGGAAAAATTACAAGCAAATTTTTTTTTATGGTTATCTGCCCTTATGAAATTTTGAAAGTTATCTTAAATTAATGAACAACTTTGCTAGCTTTTCAGAAGTGAGCTTTAACAAAAATTAAGAGGAAACATAAATACTGAAAATTAAAAAAAAGCTTTAAAACTCTAGTTTAGTATGGATTATAGTATGTAATAGAATTTACAAAATCTTACCTTCCCATAATTCATGTTTCTTTTTACATTATCACATATTTCTGCCCCTCCGACCTTTGAGTCATACTGGGCTGCTTATGTAAGCGACATACTTGCAAACAGCATTTTAGAGATAGTTTTAAAAATGTCTCGAAAGCTTTCATTTTGTTACACGAGTTCCAGGCCTTCGTTTTCTTGTCGCTTGGATTGAATTTTCAATATGGTAAAACATTTGCACTGCAAAATTTCTCCCAAAATCACCACAAAGATGGTTATCCCATCTCAAACCGTTCTCCTAATGGTTTCCACAAATAATAAAAAACATGCGAGAATTTCGAGAAGCATTGCGAATTGTTTGAGACCTATGAAACTTAAATCTGACTGATTTCAGACCAGAAAAGAATTCGGAAGATATTGGCACGAATATATCTGACGATATATTTGAAAATAAATTAAAAATAAAATGCAGTGTATCTGCATCATTCTCTGCCTATATTGCGACGAATCATGTTTGGTGAATTTTTAATAAATGCCCTTTCAATTATGTCATTAGAACACGTGACACATTGGTATATAAAGTAGTCGCAGCTTTACTCTTATCCCTTGATACTTGCAAGTTATGAAGAGGCATAAGGCAGAAGATTTGAAGGATTATTAATGGCGAAAAATAAACACAACCCAGAGATTTTACCTGCCGACCAGATGCCGATGTCGTGACTGAAGCCGAATGGACTGACCTTACACAATAGGCAGAAACGACGAGGAGGAAGAGTACTTTCGTGCGTGTCCCCTCAATAGCAGCCTTGATCAGGACTGTCTCCTTTTCATATTGTCTCAGGTGACTGTACGTTAAGGTAATCCTTGAACGCTGTTAGTGACCAACTTTGGGCTCAAAATTCATTTCTCTGACTAAAATTGCATTGAGGTAAATTATCACAATTTTGTGATTTAAAATTAACCCATTTAGGGCATGATTGGTGACTGGCATGTCCGGGGTTCGTACTTGACAACGAATACTACTTCTTTGTGTCTTATCGGACGTATGGACCCTCATAAATTATTAACTACAGTTATGTGCACGCTCTTTATTTTAAAATGGTCCAAACAATATTTTATGTCACTCTGGTGTAACAGGTAAAAACCAAGCACAAAGAGCCTGTCTCAAAACATTCTGTGTCGGATCTGGGGACTCTGTTTGTGGTTGCCTTAATATGAGCACGTGAGTTTGTAAATGAAGCATCCGTAAATAAAATCGGCATGCCAAATTATCGAAAATCTATAATGTTTGGCAATTTATATTCGGCGAATGTCCTGAAGCATTTACGGATATTCAAATCAAATTAGTTGCAAATATGTAATCATATTAAATCCTTGCTATTCGAGATTGAACAACATTATTCTTCTATCGTAAATTTTCACGAATTATTGAATTATTGTACAGAATTGTAGTATCAGGTTTTATCGAAATGTGGCATAAATCATAATTGTCATTTAATATTATCCTTTGTATTTTGCTTAGATGTAGGTATGCGAGTGTTAGATATAATTCTATTAATGTTGAGGACATGTATTGCGTTCTTTCTTGGAATATTTCCATTTTCAAAATAATGGGTTCAGAGTATGTTTACAAAAACAAAACAAAACAAAACATAACACCAGATAATAAAAAACATATTTTGTGTTTCTATACTATTTTCCTTTATTTTAGAAACAATATATTTTATTTTGGAAACAATATATTTGAAAAATAAAACAAATGCAGCCAACAATATTGTATTATATATTTGATACTATTTCTATTGATCTTTCTTGTACACGTTCTAATTTCACCAAATAATATATTCGTATTTACATGACGTTTATTCTAAACTATTTTTCTTACTTCTTTTTTTCTCTCTCATTTTTATATGCAAATATGAACTATTAGCGACAACCTAAATCGAGGACAAATTATCCTCTTACGGTCAAGTGTCAATTTCCGACAAATACCAATTAAGTTGACTAAATGTCTGGTATGTGGTACGTTTCTTTATTATTTGATTAACGAGGACAATCTTCAGACGGCGGTTGCCACCCAATTTCCTCCATTAAACATTTTACACAAGGGATAAGGTTATTCTTTTCTCCATTGACATGATATACTTAAGGGAGCAATTGGGCTACTATATTTGACTTTCCATTGACTTGTTGTCCTTTACTTCACTTCATAATAACAGTTATTTGAACCACTTTGTCTAAACCACAAAGCTACTTGTCACGAGTCTCGTGTTAACATTGTCGGCTATTTTAGTATTGCTCAAATAGTGTCAATGTTTGACCTTATCCTTTTCCCTCATATAGACGTGTTTTGACGGCTTTTTGTCCCCCCCTTTTTTAGGCCCCAAACAGTGAAAAAATGCCATGTGTCCCCATTTGAGAAATGTTGTTAAAAAATTTGACTACTTTTTTCGGCGCGGCCCCCCATCAATGGTACATCAGGGGGTTGCAAGAAGGGGGATGTGCCCCTTTCTGTTGGGGGGGGGGGGGTTGAAGGTGGGGGGGGTAGCCCCCCTCATTGTTGAGAAAATTTTGGACATGTGGCAAGCTAAACATGGCCTCAGGTTGGTAACTAGTAACCGACGCTGAAAAGCCTTTTACTCTATCTTAATTCATTGACAAGTTGCAACACTTTGATTGGGAAAAAACACAATGCAAAATAGTGATTTTTGCAATTTTGAGACGTTCCCCGTTGCCATGGTAAAAGAAAAATTACGACTGAGCATGCTGTTACAGAGGCTATGGTCCAATCAACATTTATGCCAAGTTTCATTAGTATCGAAGCATTTTTCATAGTTTCAGAGCAGTTTGAACTTGTAACAGAAGGCTTTTCAATGAAAACGGCCTTTTTTCACAATATGCTCATGGGGTAAAAGGCTAAAGAGGATGAATGTACGGTTCTATATGATTTTGCCTTTTATTTAGATATAGATGGACTTTTAATAACAGATTTAGAAAGGACATTTTCTAACAGCGTAGACTGGCCTCCATATAATAGCTGTATGGATTATGAAATGCTTCATAAATTCTCTACAAAATTTAGAAATCGATGCAGCAAATTCTTTTTTAATCTTTGACTTATGAGTAGATAGTCAATTTCAATCCTTCAAAATCTGAAACCATGAAAATCAAAAGTTAAAAAAAACACATTTCGATCCACGTCATTTAAAAAAAATCAGACAATATTTTCAATTACTTAAAAATTTATATATATATATATATATTAAACTATTTAGAATGTATCGAGAACAATGCGACATGCATATCATTGCATATTCAAGGGATTATCCAAAATCACTTGTTTTTTTAAACTTGTAAAATTTGTTTGAGACATTTATCTGATATTGATACACGACCAAGAAGAAAAAAGATTAACACAGATACATGTAGTTACGCCTACAAAGATATTGTGTATAAGAAATATGACATTTGTAGTTGCAACTGTTTGCAAAATGTGATTGATAATGCATTCAAACACTAAAATTTTGAAATATATAATAATCATCCCTAAACAAATTATTTGCAACAATCTTTGTTGTGGTTTTCATTCCATAGAGTAAAAGTTGGTGACGAAACTTTAAGCACCCAATACATAATACAATAACGAGCCTCAAATGTTATAGA